TACAATATCCCAGGTGGAAGACAAAGACGAGTTCATCTGGGCACAAGCCCTGGCTGTGAGAAGCATGACAAGAGAGACACCCTCCTGTGTTTTTTCCCTAAGGAGTAGTAGTAAATCTCACAGAGGGCCTTATGTGGCTATTAATGCAGTTCTTTGAGCACTACTCAAATAAAAGAGGATGACAGTTAATCAAAGAGAATCCCCCACTGCATCCCAGGCATGACCAGCCCCTCTGGCACTTGCTGCTATTCTTCTTGTGAGGAGGTGACAAATTAAAACCATGCTGTCCCTACTCCCCCCATCCACCAAGATCACCTCTGTTTTCCTCTCACAGCTGCATCACTGCCAGTGATCATCAGTCCGTGATGTTTTAAAGGAGCCTATGGGTTGTATGTCTTTTGAGGCAAATTCTGCTTCTCTAAGTTAAGCCATGGCTGTCAGCTGTCTTTCCCAGAGATTCTGGGTACATTGCATGTGTTCCTGAAGTCAAACTGACTCTCAGGCCCCAGCTCCTACCTATGGCTGGATGGGCCATTGTGGCACAAGCTGTGGTCAGACAATTGAACACGGTCTGTGTGTGGTCCTCTTACTCCTTTCAGTAAAGAGAGTTTATAGAATGGAGGAAAGCTTTCTGGCAGAACAGTTTAGAGCACAAATCCCACAGATCTTCATACATACATCTTCTGAACTTACAGCCAGGTCAGCATGGGCTTTAAAGACTGCTGGATCAGGACCATTGTTTCTTTGTCCCTTTTGTCCAAGCTGTAGCTCTATTACAGCTATCACACAGTTGAGATAATTCTGTGATACTACAGTATGCTAATTCCTAAGGATTCCTCTTCCTTTTGTAGAATTCAGATTTCTCCTATGTTTGTAGCACACATGGGGAAAAACTAAAATTCCTTTGTTCTTTCTTCTGTCTCTATGCTGAAAGGCTGAAGAGGCCATGCTTCCCAGACCAACCACTCTGAGCTCAGCCTTAATGGTAGGCAGGGGGTGGTTGCCTCCATGTCAGGGCTTGCTTTAAAAAAAAACAGGGATCTTAATTCCAGCTTTGGAAATGAAGAAGAGTTTGCTATTAGCTCTCATATTAATAATTTAGAAAATACATGCCCAATCACTTGTGTTCTCTCGGTTCTCTCTGAACACAGCTGCAGACTGCATTAGGTGTTAGGGTGAATGGATATATTTCAGATGAGATATTTGTACTGAATTATTAGGGTAGTCTGTATTACAAAATTACTAATAAACATTGCTTCTGGCTCAATTTAGCCTGAACTCAGTGAACCTAGCCAGTGGTGAGAAATCAAAAACTCCGAAATACCCGATGAATGAATCTAACTAATCAAGAAACCCTGCAGGAAGTAGATGCCAGGATTAATGAGCCAGTGGTTTCACCATGCCATGCTGTTATTTCTTCACATAAATGCCCTCAGATGAGATTACCTTTGTCATGAAAAGGAGAAAAGGAAGGTTACATACTTTCAACTGACAGGTTAACTGCCATACCTCCATTACTGCAAGATACATTTTCATGTGCAAAGATTTTTATTCTGAAAAATGAAAATTTAAAGACCACAACACAAATTAAACCACATTTTTATTTCCAGAAGCAGGGATCATTGCTGCTAGTACAATAATATAATCCTGCTGCAATGTTATCTGATCCTTTGCCTTGCGCAAACTTTCCTCTGATGTTAGTAATTGCTCAGTGAATGCAATCTCCAGCAGCAGGTAAGAGCAGATTCTGCCTTCCACAGGGATTTGAGGAGAGGAGGAGAGGAGAGAGAGAGTGTCAAAGCATTTCATCAAGAGAGCAAATGAAAGGTTCAGTGACATTATCGTTATGTATATTCCTTAGACATTAGGGGTGATGTTGTGTTTAGAGGGAAGTAAACCTACGTGGATATGTGCCGGTGTGGAAATGAATCCATATATAAAAACGTAAATCTCAGTCAACTTACATGCTGTGTGGAATTGCTCAAAGCTAAAATGCACCTTAAAATAAGCAAAGAAGCCTAGCTTGTAACAGCCCCAGTGCCTGGTGTTAGATACTTAGTCAGTAATAGGCTAATTGTTATTCAGCATAAATGTTCCCTCTCAATTTACATGGAATTCACTCATTTATTTTGATCACTTTATGTGAATGAAGTAAAGCTGTTCATGTTGTTAGGCAGAACTGGTCAGTGCTGCTTAATTTTTATCTCTTAACATCGGCATGAGATTTTTGTAATAAAATCATTCACACACAACCTGTAACATGTATGCGTGAAACCTGAGGCCCCTTCATTTCATCCATGTTAAATACATAAGAGCATCAGCTTAGATGCTTTGTGTTGCAAAGCTTCGGCTGGTGCTAAGGGTATGTATAATTTCAAAAATCTCCAGGACTCAGAACAAGAAGATCTATTGCCATGGAAACAAATATTGTATCAAAGTTGGGTAGGATCAAAAACCTTTGCTCATAACCAGAACAGTTGCATTAGAATATGGAAGAAATGATGGATGTTTTAGGAATGAGTATTATGCCAAAGGACCTTTGTAAGACCCCTTCTATAGAGCTTCAGCATTCAGCGTCAAGAGTTGGCTCTTACAGGTTGCGTCTCAATCCTCTGCCCCCAGCCAGAGAGAGCATTTTCCTCTACCATTAAAAAGCACATATTTTTAAAAGATCTTCCATAGCAGACTTTATGATGTTCCTACATCATAAAGCTGTCCTGCTTATAGCAATATAAAGCAACTATAAAAATTACGTGCTTGTAAACAACCCTCCATACATTTGGAAGAAATAGAGTGAGTTTTGCACTCCTCTGTGCATACATGGAGACTTCTTGTCTCCTTGGCTGACCATGGCATTGGGAAGGCACCGCTGAACAACTGAGAATAACCAGGGACACCTAGATGGGCCAACGCTTCCCTTGGCCCAGGCAGAGGCACCCGTGGGACAGAGGAGCTGCCAGTGCATTGACCAGCCCTGCTCCATCGGCACCCTATGGGGTAAGGAGCCTGGGGGTGCTATTGACCAGTCCTGCTCCAAAGGCACCCTCTGTGCCGATCTCTTTATAGCTGATCTCTATACTGATCCTGAATTTCAAACTCAGAAACTAAACTGATCCTGAATTTCAAACTGGGTGCACAGGAGCAACTGCTTGGCCACACTTGGAAGCAGAGGGAGGGCTGAAAGAAGAGACAGGTCATGGTGACCTCTTACCCCAGGCATCACCATGGTGTGGATTATGGTAGGGGACCTGTTTTGCCTTGCCTGTCCTACTCCAGGGGGAGCATCCTGGGCTGTTTCAGCACCTCCATGAGCAGGCTCCTGCAGAAGGGCGCGGGGCTGCTTCCTCAGGTGACCCCCAGTGGACTCACTCACGGCCTGTATCACCAATAATTTATTCTGCTTTTATTTCTCTTTTAAATTAGATATGCATGCATAATAGGCACTTTGGAGCGGGCAAGGACCCTTCTGCGGGTGCCTATGGAGCCGGGTACTCTCAGGTGTGTAATTAAGAGGTGTGTAATTGATGTACAAGGAGAAGAGATCTCAGTGCATTGCATTAAAAAGAAGCAAAGGGCGAGCGGGGGAGGAAGAAACAAAGAAAGAAAACCAAACTGTGCTGCACGGTGACCACCGAAGCCCTCCACTCTTTTCTCCCTTGCGGAGAAGTTTACGCGGATGTGAACAGAGGGGTTCCTCTTCCGTGGGGCTTGCCCCTCAGCAGCCACTCAACTCATTTCAGAGACGGCAGAAAGGTCCGGGGCCAAGCGCCCTCTGCTCCTGCTGCCCCCCGCTCTCGCCCCTTCACCACTCAGCTCACAGTTTAAAGACAAACCACGCAGAAAGATTAACAAAAGTTTATTAGTCATGAAGTATTAAAATCGTGATAAATGAAAGGCTTCAATGCAAAGTTCAAGCAAGCAAACTATCCCCAAACTTGAGACAAAGGACTTGGTGAATCCTACAGAAGGAAGTCCTGTCTTTTTTTTTTTTTTTATGTTTTTTGCCTGCGGTTCAAGACACCTCTCATATCTCACACATCACATCAAAATCTATATTTTTTCATATCACTTACTGAAAATGATTTTATTTATCCATTCACATTAACTTGATATAAACGTGTCCGGAAAAGTCAAGTAATATGTTTTATATTAGATCAAACATTTAAGAAACCCAAAATTCAATAAATAAGCACAGACAATAAGTTAAAACATATCACGAATCGACCAGTATGTAACGAGAATGCTTTATCTACACAAAACATCCTATTTCACATCGTATGATCATTCCTCCAGCGGCCCTGCCCTGCGGCGGGGTGACCGGCACATGCAGACGGGCAGGCCGCGGGGCCGAACCGGGCCGGGCCGATGCGGGCCGGGCGGGGCGGGAGCCGCGGCGGTGCCTCCGCCGTCGGCAGCGGAAGATGCAGGAGGGAGAATAGCAGCAAAACGTAAATAAATGCGTAAATAAAGGTGGGGCGGATCGGCAACTCAACTGTCACGGAACCAAAGATCCGGAAAGGGAAGTGCTCTTGCCTTTTTTTTGCCTTCCCCCCCCCCCCCATTTTCCTCCCCCGCGTGCTTTACTTTTAGAAAACTTTTTTTTTTTTTTTTGCTTGTTTTCCTTTTTCTCCATCTCTCTCGCTTGTAAATGCTTTATCAAAACGGATTTGATTCTCTCTGGGGTCTCTGTGCCGCTCCGCGCACCCGCCCGGCCGCCCCCATAGACGGCGCCCTCTCAGCGGAGGGGGCCGGCGGCAGATCCTGCTCTTGAATAAGCATAAAAACTAGGAAAACAAAACCAAACAAAGCATTTCTTTGCAGAGCCGGTCGGGGGCCGGCGGGAGCGCCCGGTCGTGGCGCGGCAGGAAGGAGCAAGGGAAACAGGGAGGGAATCAGAGCCCGGGGGTTTCCGGGTGCTCCCGCCGCCGCTGGAGGGGACGCGGCCGCCGGGGGGGCAGGGGACGCGCGGGGGGGGTCGCGGGAGGGGGGTCGGGGGGTGTACGGGGGGATGGGGGTGTTTCTGGGCCCACAAACCAGCCCTTTGGCGTCTGGTTTCAGATCCTGAGTCGACTCCCTGGTAAGTCAGGTGGGGGAAGGCGGGGGTCGGGCATGGACGGGCGAGCGACGCGAGGGTGCAGGGCCAAGCGGCGGCGGCGGGGGACGTGGCGGCGGCCATTAGGTGAAGCTCATGGAGACTGTGTGCTCTAGTGCTTTGCGGCGGAGGGAGGCGATGCTCGTTCCCCGCCACACGTCGCTGCTGTCCGGGGAGCTGCAGAGCTGGGGCGAGCCGGTCACGTTGCTGGGCCCAGGCAGGGAGGCGGGCACCATGCCGGGGAAGGCGGGCTGGTAGAGGTGCGACTGCAGCCCGGCCCCGTTGGAGCCCGCCAGGCTGTTGGAGAGGCCCATGGAGTTGGGCGGCGGCCCCGCCGCCAGGCTGCACTGGGAGAGGGACTGCGCCATGGCCTGCTGCCGGCCCAGCGCCGGCGGCAGCGGCAGCTGCGACACGCCCGGCATGGCGGCGGCGGCCCAGCGGGTGTCGTTGGCATGGAAGGAGCAGAGGCTGTCGCCCATAGCGGCGGCGGCGGCGGCGGCAGCCGAGGGGAACTGCGGCAGCCCCGGCGTCGGCAGCAGCGTGCCCGGGGCGCGGAAGACGTTCGTGGTCTTCTTGCGCTTCTTCCACTTGGCCCGCCGGTTCTGGAACCAGACCTGCGGGCGGCGGGCAGCGACAACACAGTTAGCGACACCAGCCAGCCAGCCCGGGCGCGGCTCGGTGCAGCGGGACCCGCCACCCGGCCCGGACCCTACCCCGACTCTCTCCCTTCTCCCCCTCCGGCCTTTACCTCTCACACAGCTGCTCTTTACACCCGCAGCCCTACGCGTATTCCCCGTCACCAGTTAATGATACTGTTGGAACTTTTTATAGCGAAACCCGTAGATGCGTCAGTCCCAGGACTGAGCTGCCTGCGGCCTCCCTCGGGGAGAGGGTCCGGGAGAGGAGCCAGGCCTTCGCCCGGAAAAATATATGAAAAATAACAGTTACACCAGCAGAAAATAAATGAGCGGCCCACGGCTCTTGCCCTTGCGTGGAAGCGCTCCCTAGCCGCCACCGTAGCAGACCCCAGTGCAGCGGGGCGGGGAACCGTGCCCCTGGCCGGGTAGTGTTGCCCGAACCCATCCAATCCAACCGCCCGTGTTCGGGGCTTTTCTATAAAAACAAAACCAGAAACCCCCCAGAAGATGTTCTCGGTGCTCGGGAGGTGGTGCCGCCCCGGTGACTGAGTGGGTGTCGCCGCGCCACCGTCGAAATCACAGGGGGAATTGCGAGGGGAGAAAAACGGGTCCACTCGAATTCGGAGGATCCCTGCTGCCAGAGGTGCTGGAGCCGCGGTTTTGTGCTACATACGTACCCAGATGGAGAACGACCGGCGCGCGTTAGCGGGATTGAACAGCCGTTAGGGAGCTAAGTGTTATATCGAAAAATCCGTTCAATTATCTTTTAGGGTTAATAGTTAAATTGCGGCTACAAAATCTTTTTATGTTTCATGGTTTACTGGTGGTGTAAAGAATCTCCATCAGGTCTGATCTCCTCAGCTCATAGCTACGCCGCATATGCTTTTAAAATGTGAATGTTTCCAGATGAAAACTGGTGCATGACAGATTAAAACGCAAGGAAAACCTGGGGGAGATGTTGAAAATGCACACATGACAACTCTAGAAATATATTAACCACGAGCGTTTGGCAACTTTGGGCTCCTTCTGAAATGCAGCTAGTCCCTGAAAATTATTAATACAACAGTGAGAATCTAATGGAGGTTGGAATCTAAAAATCTGCCTTGATGATGTCTGCTGTTACAGTAATATAGACGTACTGTAAATGTATTTTAAAATATATAGCCCATTTAATTCCCTAGCTATAAACGGGTTAGAGAGAAAGGGAGAGAGAAGGGAGACAATATCACTTTTGTTTTTCTATTTTTTTTTTTTTCGCTTTCATGAGCCGAAGCTTTATGAAGATCTCATTGGAATCTAGTGGATGATTAATGTGAAGATTTAGTAGGAAATCTGGAGAGCTGTATTAAAGCTCAGATCTCAGGTTCATTTCGATCAGTCAGCCGTGAACTCTGGGCCGAATTCATTACACTTTAATAGTGCTGGGAGAGGAAGAAAATGCAATTTCTCATTCCATTAGAAAACTAGAAAATACTTTCAGCTTGTCCCCTATTAAGATGTGGCAGGTGACGGGACCATTGTGGGGGACACGGTCAATGGAATTACAGCACATTATTTTTGTTCGTATAAAATATTGAAAGGCAAGCCTGACTGTGCAGAAGTTATTTCACTGATTTGGTTTTTATGTAAATAAAATATTGAAAGTTAATTAATCCGTGCTAGAGACTAATGATTATGCTTATTATATTGCATTTGATCGTGTAATTTGCATGATTCTCGCATTGCTGCTTAATAAGCCATTCCAGGTTATAAATAATTCTGAAATTGGTTTCTAATAATGGCATGCTATAAAAAGAATGGTTTTATTACAGCAGCCTGAAAAGCAGAGCAATATCAGACGTGGAATTGGACTCCTGTTTAAGCACCAGCCGCTTTAATAATTATTTAAATGTATCATATACATTAAATACAGCTCTAAAATGAGGAAAATGGTGATTTATCCTAGCATCTAAAACCCTTAAAAACATATACAGCCGCTATAAATTAACTGTTTGGAGCATTCCTTAATCAGTGTGGAGCCCACATGCTGCAAGGAATGTGTAGGCAATCTGTTAACTATAAAGAAAACTGTAAAGTACTGGCATAAGAACATAAACCAATTACTATTTAATTTAAATTTGGTCAAGGAGCGGTGATACATCGGATTGTGAAGTAAATACATTAAATAAATTGTTTTGCCTTAGATTACATAATGTTAATCATTTTGAAGTGTTAATTAAGAAGGTTATGTTGATCTGATTACTTTTTAAACTACAGAACATTATTGTAAAAAATATTTAAATTACCGCTCTATTAAACTGTTTTTATCAGCAGTCTCGAGCTATTAGCGTTGGTTTAAGATTATGCAGAGGCCATTAAAACACTTTGTCTTTCTTCCTACGAAACTCTTTGATGTGCTGTTAGAAAAATAACTATTTCCATTTTATATTTTATATTTTACTTCATTTACCACACTCCTAATATTGAAATTGGTATCATTAACCTTTGGAAACCCAATAAAGTTTAATAGACCTCGTTTTCTTTTTTCGTAGAGTCAGTTGTCCAATTATATTTTATTTGTGAACCTAATTTCTTTCTTAATTTAAACTAATTATGGTCCTGTGTAGGCTGAGTCAAATTGTTTTACTTTTGAAAAGCAAACGTGCTTTTTCTGTCACATTCAAGAACAGACTGTTTTCGTTCATAAAACCCGCTCATTTAGGGATTTCTTTTGACGTGTCTTTATTTAACTGAGGAATGTAACCTGGCTGAGAGGAATTTTGAACACCGGCTGCAGTAAAGTGCGGCGGCATTTCCCGTGCGCTGTGCTGAGCGGGGATGCACATCCCACAAGTGCTTCTATTGTGCAGGATTTCATTCCGTGGAAGGAACTCACCCAGAAAGTCGATAAAATATCATTTTACACACAAAAGCTGTATTGGAGCAGTCTCGCGGTTTATATTTGCCTAAAGAGTTTTTCACATGACTACGTGCAAATGCATTTATGTCTGTGTGCACATGTGTATGTACGTGTATGTACTTTAGAGAAGAAAGTACACCCTACGTGTTAAAGTTACTCGCTACCTCTCCTGTCTCTAGGCATTAGAAAGGTGGCAGTCCGGGGAAACTGCGAGTCCAGCTAGAGCTGCCTTTGACCGAAGAGCCTTTTTAGCAGCCTGTGTGCCTTCCCCCGCTCACCAAGGCGACCCTCCCGCCGGCAGGCTCCAGGGGACGCCCGTTCCGGGCTGCGACATAGCCGCCCGGCTATCAGTACCCTGGAGAGCGGCCCTGCCACCAGCAGCCGGGGCAACAACCCCGTGGCACACTGCGCCGCCGGGAAGAGGCGCGATTCGCCGGCGGTTTGGGATCGCCTCTTAGCGCCGCGCTATTACTGGGAGGGCTGAGACTCGCGCCACCCGGGCTGCGCCTTCCCGGGCCCTTTCCTGCCGCGAGTTGGGCCGTGGAGCGGGGGGAATCCCCGCCCGATTCCCACTAGGGACCACCGAGCTGTGGGGGGCTAGGGGACAAGGGGACACCCCGAAGGGACATTTTTGTGGAAAGGGGGGGCGAGGATGTCCGGTTTCAAGGCTTCCTGAATGAACTGTTGCGTTAGGGCTGAGGTTCGGGGACACCCGCCGCCCGCCCCGTTGTGACTGGCCTCGCCGCCGTCCGGCCCTGCTGCCTTCGGTGCGATTGGGGAAGGTGCCGGCGGGGTGGGAAGTGCGCGGGGATCGCTGCTCATACCTGCACCCGGGACTCAGTGAGGCCGATGCGCAGGGCCAGCTCTTCCCTCATGAAGATGTCCGGGTAGTGGGTCTTGGCGAAGCTTCTCTCCAGCTCGTTCAGCTGTGCCGGAGTGAAGCGGGTGCGGTGCCGCTTCTGCTTCTGCTGCCCCTGTTGCTGACCAGCCTGGCTGGGGTTCTGGCCACCCTGCTGGCCTTGCTGCTTGTCGGGGTCTTTGGCGCTGACGGCTAAGGAACTGGGGTTGGATCCCACCGTGGTGATGTCCTCCCCCGGCAGCAGGGTGGTCCCTTCTACCGTGTCCGAGTTGGGAGCCATGTCTCCCGGGTGTCCCCCCGGATCCGAGCCCCCTACGCCCAGCCGACACTTCACCGCCTCCCGGTGTCCCAGCAGCTCGGCCGCATCTTTCATCCCTGCGGAAGCAAAGGAGCTGCGGTCACTCCCCTGCAGTCGGGCATGCATCCATCAGAGCCGCTTTCCAGCGCCCTGAGCGGGTGAGAAGCACCCGGCCACCGCCACAGTCTCCCCCCGCCTCCCCACGGCCACCCGCAAGCCCCGCAGCCCGGATGGGCTCGGCTCCACGGAGCGCAATGTCCCTGGCCTAGCGCAACCGGGGCGCGGAGAGAAAACTTTACACCGAGGAGCTCCTCGTCATGCTTAAATAATCAGCTCTCTGCCGGGCCTTCCCTTCCGAGACCAAGAGAGGGAAAGAACAAGGGGGGACAAGTTTTGTCGGGTTCAGACGGCTTTTTCCAGAAGAGCTGGTAAAAGAAAGAGATGGAGAGAGAGAAAGAAAGAAGGAAAGCTCGAACCGCCCTGCTGCCAGGAGCTTTACCTCCCTGACAGATGTGTGGGGACCTCGGTCACCCTGGCCGATCTTTCCCCTCTCCTCCATCCACTCCTCTAAACAAACTAATGAATAACCATAAAGAGCCAGATACAGGTATTTCTCTTTAAGGAAAAGAAGGAAAGGGAGAAGCGAGCAGGAGAGCAGAAAAAGGCCACCCAGAACTCCCTTGTCCTAAAATAATCATCATCATCATCATGATAATAACGTGTAGGTATGTATATAAAAACAGGGGAGAGGGAAATTAAATGATCCACAACTCGCTGTAGATCTACATACTCCTCTTTTTTTTTTCTTCTTTTTTTTTTTTAATGTTAAATCAAATTAAACTTCAATACAGTACAATTACTTTTAAAGGAATTAGCCCATTTAGATCGCATTAAGGTAAAATAAGGAACAAATTGTCAATTTCCTGCTCCGGCTTTCTCCCCGCTCGCTGCCGCCGGCGGTGCAGCAGTCTCAGGGCGGGGGGGTGCTGGGGGAAACTCACCGAGACGGGCGTCCAGGAGGTCGGCGTGAGACAGCATCGCGCACCGCTCCAGGGCGAAGGCTGTTCCCCCCCAAATTTTAGCGGCCTTAAGTTATTTAAAATAGATATAAGATATGAGATATATATATATATATAGATCCCCTAAATGAAAGAAAATTCGGTGTGTGGTTAAAAAGGGGGTCTCTTGCATTATAATGTCCTTTAGAGAGACGGGGAGGTGCTTAACACTTCAATGAACCTGTGAGCAGCTCGGCGCGGGGACCAATCAGGAGGGCAGCCTGCAAATGTCAGCGCCCGGATCGCCCCGCTCCGCCCGCCCGCCGCCCGCCCGCCGCCCCGGCCTCCCGCCGCCCAGGCCCGGCCCGCGCCGCGCCGCCGTTCCCTTCCGTGCTCCGCTCGCCCTCGCCGCCCTCCTTACCCCTCTTCCCTTGTCTTCCAAATGCACATTTGCCACCCTTCTCCCGCTCCAGGTCACCCCTTATTTATTGTGGTTTTCATTTCTTTTTTTTTTTCCTTTTTAATGCTTCCCAGGAGCGCACCCTCGCACCCGGCCCAGTCAGGCTCCTAGAAGTGGCTGGCAAGCACAGCGCCGACCTAGGGGGATGTAAAACGTTGAGCAAGGGCTGGTCCTGCTCGCCAGCCGCCCAGGGGAACGGGACCGGCGGCGGGAACCGCGACCGGCTCTCACCCACCCGCCGTCTCCGCGGGGCCCCGACGGCTGCGGGGCGGCGGGAAAAAAGAAACTTGGGTAAGCTCCCACAGTGCCCGCGCCGCAGAGGCTCGCCCGGCTCCGGGGCTGCCCGCCAACCTGGTCTCGGTCTCTTTAGCCAGGTGCAGAAGCACAACGGCAACGCAGGGAGAGGAGGGAGGGAAGCACGGCGCGTCCCCGCCGCCCCGGGAGCGCTGCCTCCCGGGCCGGGATTTAAAAGCCCATAAACCCAATTTTCTTTTTTTTCGGGTAAAGTTTCTTAAGTTCGCATCGCCTACAAACTGAATTCAAAGCAGTAAATAAAGTTAAATGCTTTTTATTTTCCTCTTGAATATGTTAAACTACTCGAACAATTTAGAGTGCTTTGCACAAGTGAAGCGAACCATTTCTAATGTTCTGATTTTTCAAAGCCAGCCAACAACAAAGTTTAGATTAGTAATATATTTCTAACCAGAGTAATTTTCAAGATCATTAGGCATTTATGTAATTAGTGCCAAATCTATAAGCTTTTATTACGATTATTAGAGTAAAATCAGTATAAATTTGTACTAATTTACTACTGTTTAGACTTGGCTGTCAAGCCAAGAGGTTCTTATTGTAAATGATAACTGAGGAAATTAAGTGCAAAATTCTGTACCATTTCTGATCCGCTCCTAAACAATCCGTTTCAATTGTATTTGTAGCAGAACATAATGCCCTTTTAAAGTTATTTGACTTGTATTTTTATTTGCAAAACAAGAAAAATACCCTCTAACCGGGCACAATGAAAACTGATATTTACTATTTCCAACTTGATTAACATTGATTTTTAATTCAAAAGTGATGCAATTAAGATTATTCATTTAGTGCAAATAAAGCTTCCACCGAAAAGGGAGCCCAGTGAAGTCTGTGTTAAATAATACAGCGCCAATGGCTTTTTTTATCCTCGCCACCCAATTGACTTACGCAAAACATTGTAAATACTGCATGCGAACAGATGCAAGAGTGGTTTTGTTTGCAGCTCAGATGTGCAGGGGTTTCGGCAGCGACTGAACAAGGAGACAAAGGAACCGGCCGACCGATCTCGAGCGCAGTTTTACTGCCTTTTTTTTTTTTTTTTCCCCTCCCTCCTCCCTGCTCAGGCTACATTGATTCAATCCAGCTTTCGAGACGTCGGGCTGTTGCAATGAACCTGGGTGCCCGGAACGGCCGCTAAAAGCAGGGAGAGAAACCCAGAGCCGGGCCACAGTCTAGCTGCAGAGAGGGAGAAAGAAAGAAAGAAGTGGAGGTGGGGTGGGAGTTTCGGGATATTTGTTTTCCCCTTTCTTTCTCTTTTTCCGGGTGGATGGGAGACGGTGGAGATGGCTTATTTGTTTTGCCTTCTTCCTTTGAAAATCACTGTGTGTCTGCGGCTCCGGGGCAGGAGGGGAAGCCCCGGCGGTGAAAATTCCCGACAGCCGCCCTCCGGCCACTGCCAGGGCCGGGACTCGCGGAGCGGAGCCGCCGGAGGAGGGTCGGGCCGGGGCCGGCGGGAGCGAAAGGGCACGCATCCTTCCGCGGCCCAGGGGGGGTCGGGCCCTACCTGGGGCCGGAGTTATGCGAGTGCCGGCCGGAGTGTTTGGGGTTCAGTTTTAGCTGTAGCTGCTGGCAGAAATGACCGGGCGCTGCAGGCGGCCGAAGCCTTCTTCTGCCGAGCTTGGTACTGGCAGGGCGGCACGGCGAGCCTGCGCGTCTATTCTGTGGTGTTGTATGTTTCGGATCGATAAATAAATGTGTAATAGTTAATGTGCAGACACATCAGAGTAATAACAATGGGATGAAATCAAAGGATTATCAATCTGTGTTAGTAACTGCTGAATAACAATGTTGCAGTGTGATTGATAGCGCGCTTCATTTTATGACTTTTCTATTGCTCTTGATTTTTATAGCAGTATAAACAAACTAAATCATTTCTTCGAAGACTTCAGAGCGAAATCGTCTTAAGGGAAGGGGGAAATCAGAGAAGGAAGTCCGCGGGAGAGAACGGAGCGAGCAGGGCTGACACTCTAGCGTGTCAGAAAGAAAATGACAATAGGGCATATGTAAAATACCCTAATCGCATTCTGCTTCCGCGCACTCCTGTTTTGTCAAGTGCCTGAATTCACCTGGGCAGTGTCGGAGATGTATTTACAAGGATTTTATTCCCCGTCATCTTTCCATTTTCCCAGTGTAGCCAGAAAACTGCCAGTCAAGTCCGTTCCCTGTTACAATTTACGGTATTCCCCACATGATCATAGGAACTGAAGTTCCTAACAAGGAAAGGCTTTAGCACAATGGCCCAAAATCTTCAGAGTGACACGAGTGTCTTCAGAAATCACTTCAGAGCAAAGTAAAAGGATTTTCTATGACGGATCCAGTGATTTTTCCTCAATAAATAGGTTTTAGATTGTTACACACACGTAGAACCGGAACAAAGGGCAGTACCAGAAAATATATTGGTTGCCCCTAATAAAATTTATTTAGACAGTTTACTTCTCATAAAAAATAGAGATTGAATTTCGTACAGGAGCGCCTGCCAAGGGGCTAGGCACTGGGAGATCATCTCCCCCCGCACTTTGCCTTCGTTTTCTTTCCTTTCTCTCATTTTCTTTCTCCTTGTTAGGCCCTGTCCTGGGGTCCTGGCCGAGTCCGCTCTCCCTTCTGTTCCCCTTCGCCCCCCGCCCCTTTCCATGCTGCTCCCACCGGCCCAAGGAAGGGCGGCGGGAGCGGGGCGAGCCGCGTTTGGGAGCGGTGTCACCCTAATTCTCCGGTGCCGTGACCTGGGAAGAAAGGGTAGAGAACTTTTCAAACCCCACAGCTTCCCCCTCCCCGCCGCTAAACTGAAGCCCTGATCGAATGAGGCTGTAATACAAACAAGTGTATTTAACCAATTCTGCTCTAATTTAGGAACAGAACCTTCTTTTATCAGAATAATTATACCTGGAGCGAGCAACACGGTAAAATAAGGTTAAACTGCTAAAGTCAGCAGGGTGGTTTAGCGTAAATGGCTGATCAGATTCGTAATTTTTTATTTATGTACTTATTGAGCACCCATCCAGTTAAGGGGACTTCTGTATGCAAAGCACCGAAATTACATTTTACACTTAGCGACGCTCCCCGCGCTGATCAAATATAACTTTTGGTTGCCTGATTGTACGCGCGACTTTTTTATTATTATTTTTATTTGATTATTTCATTATTTCCAGACAGTAGTGCTGAAATGTCGGATATTATTATTCACATTCCCGCTCCTCAGTGCTGCATTGTAGCATTGTTCGCCTTAATGAGAAGCGCCTCCCTCAATAATTAACGACCTCACATTTCCCTGTTTTCTTGCGTGATGAAAAGAATCAATTTTAATTCATTGTAAATTACAGCTATGCTTTTGAGTGTTATTTGCTTACTTTTCCACATCGGCATACCCTAAACACAAATGACAAATCAAACTATATCCTTTCGTTAGGCGTAATTTGGAGTTAAGAAATGGAAAAACATAAACACGTGTTTTAATTTCAGTCAACCCTCTCGAAAATATGACTTCTTTGGAAATGAAGGACAAGGCTGCCAGCAGCTACAGATTCCAATTTATTCATTCCAGTCAGAACTAACTGTGACGATCATCGCTGCTTTACGACACTAGGCTGCATGCAGCATTTCGTAGCTGCAATGAATATACTTCTTTAAAAGCAACTTTATGAAGTTTAAAGGCATCCGAGGCAAGAACGATCGCTGCTGATCAGAAACACAGCCGCCAGGAGTTCTGAAAGCAGCCTCCCTGAGGGTGACGGGGAGAGCTCGGGTCTCCTCCTGTCATCTGTTCTCAAACATCGCCAAGAACAGCGTTTTCCCATTTGCTTATTTATCTAACTATCTGCATCTCGCTCCGGCGGAGTCAAAGGCAGCGCTTCCGACTGTCTCCTCGCCGCAGGCTGCGGGGCAGCTCTCTACAGCGAACCGGTTGCCTTAGATTGAAAGGATGGCTTCTATCAATTAATTTTCATCAGAACGATGACAACCAGTCTTTTATGGGGAAAAAGCTATTTTAATATAAAGGTATGACTGACACCCCCCACTCGCTCTCCCCCGTCCAGATGCAAACTCTTCACATATACACACGAAGTCGCTTCCCCCTTCCCCCCCCCAGCTTTGTATGCATGTATGTATGTATAGGCTTCGGGCATTGCACTAAGTTCTCAAACTTAAAAATGCGGAGCCCAAGCCTAGCGCACTGAGCCCTGCCTTGTGCGGCAGGATAGGAATTGCTGGGGCTGCCCCGAGGGCGAAGGCACCGGCGCCGGTACGAAGCATTTTCCAGATGCACCTCTGTTTAGGGAAAGAGCGCACTTCCAGGAAGACTCTTCCTACTGATCGTTGATGAATTTGCTTAACACATACCCATATATTTTAAACCCCAAACCTCTTCATCCGGCTGGATAAAATAAACCACCATGTGTGGCAATGAGAGGATACACATCAGAGATGGACGTGAATGGGGTATTTAACTTTCTCCCTTTTAAGGCCGTAGTTTTAATCTCCAATTACATAGGTGGTATATAGTAATAAGAAACATACAGATTTTGTTTGTATGTGTTAAGTTGGCTGCTTTTCTGATTTCTATTTACTCAAGATAAATAATCATATATCAGTTATTCAGTTAGGTGACAAGTCTAGTAATTGGAATAAAAGAAAACATCTCATCCTTATCTCTTCCTCTAACTAGATATAGCGCTAATAAGACTGCATCAATCTTATCTGGCAAATAAATAAAATAGACAAACAAACAAATTCGCCTCCAACAAGTTAATGTGGTGTATCTGAGTGGAAAGTAGATATTTTCACGCATTCTGGAGATGAGGAGTGACTTTTAATAAAATCACAAGAAAAACAAATGTAATTCTGTAAGCAATTTCAGAGCTCAGCCATCTCTCCCCCGCACCATTACTTAGCATTCTCCACCCGTCCTAACCTTTTCTTTTAAAAACCAGTTAGTTCCAGAAATATGACTGTCACTCAATCTGGGACCTTTCGATCCACCTTCCCTTATTATTTGGGGGGCAATTCTAGAGGTAATATGGTTTATTTTACAAGGATGATTTTTGTTGACT